GCAGCCACCATCTAGGAGTATAATTACCAATTACTGAGACAGAAAGAGCTCAGACGAAGCTCAAATCACAGTTAAATGCTCCACCTTGGAAGACTTAAGCGTAATTTTTGCTCATATGATCCTAAGCAACAACAAAGAGACTAGGAAGGTGAACAGCTAGAAATATTGTAAAATTGTAATGACACCAAACACCAAAATGAAAGCTATTAGTCTGATATCAATATTCAATGCCAACAAAGACAGTTGTTATGAAGTGCCGTCAAGTCGGTTCCGACCCATCGCAACCTTATATAGGATTTCCAAGGATCGACTGGTGAGCTTGAACTGCCGACCTTACGGCTCAAAGAGACTTTGCAGGCCCGCACATTGACCCACAGCACTACACCAGGACTTTCCTCCCACCTCCCCCAAAAGAGACTAGCACACCATTTATAATCCTTAAGGAGAAAAAAGGAGTGTTCGCCAAGAATTCTAAATGTAAATAAAAAAAAAAAAAAAAAAATTATGATTGATGAATTACAGGTTCTTATTAGGATATATCATGACAAGCTATGGACAACATTGAGAAGTATGAGTATTCCAGAACACTTAATTGTACTTCTGAGAAATCTGTACCTGGACCAAGAAGCAGTTGTTTGAAAAGAGCATGGGAACACTAAATGTTTTAAAACTGGGAAAGGTGTGCGACAGGGTTGTGTTCTTTCACCATACTTATCAACCTGTATGCTGAGCAAATAATACAAGAAGCTGGGTTCTATGAAGAAAAATGTGGCATCAGGATTGGAGGAAGACTCATTAATAACCTGTGATATGCAGATGATACAACCATGCTTGCTGAAAGTGAAGAGGACTTCAAACATTTACTGATGAAGATCAAAGAGCACAGCCTTCATTATGGATTGCATCTCAATGTCAAGAAAACAAAAATCCTCACCACTGACACTATCAGGAAAAATGTTCAACAATCAACAGTGCTCATAAAAGTGAGATGCTCATTGAAGAGCTGAAGCCTAAAGTTGGGATTAAATGCAGAGGACTGCTATCCAAGGGCATTGTGATATATTGCATGGCAACGCATGTCTACATACCTCTGTCCATACTGTTGACACTCTGCGAAACTTTAGTTTGGGGATGTTAAAGAATCCTCTCTATAGTTCTGATCTTGCTCCATCACACTTTCACCTGTTTGATCCCCTGAAAGCAGCCCTTTGAGAACAAAGATTCACCTCTGATTAAGAAGTGAAGAGAGCTGTGCATTCGTGGCTCTAGGCTCAGCCTAAGCATATTTTTTTATAATGGAATATGAAAGCTTGTTGACAGATGGACAAAATATATTGAAAAGCAAGGAGACTGTGTTGAAAAATGATGTCTTTTTCTTTTAAAAAAATTGATTGGAATAAACTCTATAGCCAGTGTAGATAAAAAAAAATAAATAAATAAATCCTCACCACTGGACCAATAAACAACATTCTTATCAACAGAGAAAAGATTGAAGTTGTCAAGGACTTCATTCTTCTTGGATCAACTATCAACGGTCACGGAAGCAGCAGTCAAGAGATCAGACAACGTATTTATTACATTAGGCAAATCTGCTGCACAGGAACTTTTTAAAGTGTTGAAGAGCAAAGATGTCACCTTGAGGACTAAGGTGCTCCTGACCCAAGCCATGGTATTTTCAATAACTTCACATGGATGCGAAAGCTGGACAGTGAATAAGGAAGATTATAGAAGATTTGATGCCTTTGAATTGTGGTGTTGGAGGAGAATACTAAAAGTGTCGTGGACTGCCAAAAGAACCAATAGATCTGCTTTGGAGGAGGTGCAACCAGAATGCTCCTTGGAGGCCAAGATGGCTAAACTTCGTCTCTCATTCTTTGGACATATTGTCAGGAGGGAACTGTCGCTGGAGAAGGATGTCATGCTGAGTAAGAAGGAGGCTCAGAGAAAAAGAGGAAGACCCCCAATGAGATGGATCAGCCAGGTGGCATCATTGATGGCGTCAAGTGTGGCAGCGGTAGTGAGGTTGGCCCAGGATCTGACATTGTTTCGTTCTGCTGTGCATGGGGTTGCTATGAGTCGGTTCCGACTCGATGGCACCTGACAACAACAACATTAGGATATGACTCGGTTCCAACTCATAGCAACCCTATACAGGGTTGAACTGAGTAACTGGTGGGTTTGAACTACCGACCTTGTGGTACACAATCAAATGCTGATACTACAGTGTCACATCTAAGGATATAGACCTCTGAAATGCACATTTTCCGTAGTATTACACACATGCACACAAATGGATACTCTGTAAATTCACAACTTAAGTTGGATCCAAACAGCTGAGGTAGCAGGGCAACCAACTTCTAATTCCAAGTAAAAGACAATGCCTACAAGGAGGACAGGATACAGCACTGGCTTCCCTGGGGCAGGTACCTGCTGTAGAGCAAAAGGTGGGTAACATGCAAGATCACATAGCTAATTTAGCAGATACAGAGCTTTGAGGAAGAAACAAGTAAAAATTCCATAAATAAAAAACAAATGTACAGAAATTAAGGGTATCTTCAATGGGCTCATTAGTAGACTCCACATAACTGAGAAAAAAAATGACCAAGTAGGGTTTAGCACCAGAATACAAGGCTGGTTAAACATTCAAGAGTCAGCCAGCATTGTGCACCGTATCCACAGACTAAAGAATGAAACACGTATGGTCAGCTAAATGATGTTGTTGTTAAGTGCCCATGAGTGATGGGTCAGTTCCAACTCATAACAACCCTGAATAGGGTTTGCCAAAGAGCAGCTGGTGGGTTTCAACTATCCACCTGTGGTTCACAGTCCAGTGCTTATCCTACTGCACCACAGCAGGAGCTGCAGGAAAAAAAGTTTTGACAAAATTCAACATTCGTTCATGATAAAAACTCCCAGCAACTAAGAACAGAAGGGATCTTCCTCAACCAGGCAAAGGGCATCTAAGAAAACCTACATCATCAGACTCAATTCCTAAGGTCAGGAAGAAGGCAAGCATGTCTGCTCTCTCCACTTCTATTTGATACTCCATTGGAAGTGCTGGTTGTGTACTAAGGCAAGGAAAATACATCAGAATCATCCAGATTGGAAAGACAGATCTGAAAAGATGCAAAACTGCTTTTTTTCTATATAACTGTCTACATAGACAATCTAAAGGAGTCTTCCAAAGAGCTACTAGAACTAATAAGTGAATGTAGCAAGACTGTAGGATTCAAGATGAGCAAATAAAAATCAAATTTCTTTTAAAAAAAAGTCACATTTCTTTAAACTAACAATAAATATAAAATTTCACATCTTAGAAAACATAATAAAAGCTACATGGTGAAAGCTACAGTAACAAAAGAAACCAAATATTCAAGAGTTGACCAGTGTTGTCCATACACCATATTAATAGATTAAAGCATAGACCGTATATGATCATCTAAATGTTGTTGTTGTCAAGCGCCGAAAAACACTGGTAAAATCAAAGAAAACCTAAACAGGGAGATGTATCATGTAAACACCAATTCTCTTTAAATTGATCTGTGGATTTAAGGCAAACTCAATCAACAGCTTAGCAGTATTTCTGTCAAAATTTAGTACTTCCATACTATAAATTTTATATTCAGAATTCTGAATTATAAATTTAGTGTTATATTGCATATGTTTAGTATTCAGTGTTTATAAATTCTGTAGGAATATAGTATTTCTGTAGAAACTCCTTGGGAGATGACTGACAGAGCCATTCAAATAAGCAGTGTCTACCTCCCTCCCTCCCACCCAGCAGGGTTATAGGAGACCACAGAAGGCCCCACAGCATCATGGGCTACAACCCTGGCCTGGTCATACGTAATGTGGAACCGCAGGAAAAGTCTCCAACTGTCATAGAATGGGCCCCTACGTGCTACAGTTCTGGGGCCTCTTGACCCACCGGGATGGTCACTCTGTGAGATTCTAAGACCACTGTACTTTGCTCTTACCTCTGTGAGAAACAGGTGGGGCCAGGGAATCTAATTCACTCCTCCTGCTGAGGATAACAGATAAATCCTCTGTTATCTGGGAGCCCTCTCTGCCAGGTTCAAGGTGGACCAGAGAAACAGGAATCTCACCCAGACCAGGGTTCTTTCTTGCTAGCAACACCGCCTGACCACCCTCTGTGGCCTGCCACAGATGCCCACTGGAGACTGCACCTTCTCCTTTTGTCCAGATGCAAGGGTGGCACACTTTTGACACCCCAGTTCCCTACACCAGTAAAACTATTTACATGGGCCATCAACCAAGGGTTCCTCTGACTGTGATCCGCATCTTCCTGAGAACTTTTTTACAAAAAAGTTCCTGAGTACAGTTTTATTCAGGGAAATGAAGTGGTTCACAACTCATATTCATTTTACACAACCAATTCTAATTTTCAGGGAAAAAAATATTCTGTATAGGAATAAAACAATAAAGAAATAATATGAATAATTTTTCCATATCACTTTTTTTTTAAAAGAAAACATCAGCTTCTATGCATTAGAACAAATTGCCATAGAAGATTTAAAATATTTCTTTCTCCACATGTTCTTAAAAAGTAAGCAAAATCAGTATGCTTCTGTTTTCTGATGGCACATCATCAAGAGAGGTTCAGAGCGGTAGACCAAACCACTTCAACAAACCAGAGGCTGGAAAAGGAAATGGTAAAATAAATCCAAATGAAAATCTGTAATACTTTGGGTTACTGTAGGAAAAGAGATTGCCACTTGCCTTGAAATAAACAAAACACTGGTAAAATCAAAGAAAACCTCAACAGAGAGATGTGCTATTTAAACACCAATTCTCTTTAAATCGATCTACAGATTTAAAGCAAACCCAATTGAAATCTTAGCAGTATTTCTGCAGAAATTTAGTACTTTTGTATTATAAATTGAGTATGCAGACGAATGAGTACCAGAAAGGAGCATGCGCCCTAGTCAACAGTCTGCACACTTGGATGAAGCGCACTGGGTGCGCGCGCACGGTCACACCTTCAATGTCAGCCGCACAGCATTGCAGTCCTCCTGCAACGGGTTCATCTTCAGCGTCTCCCCAGGGTTGCTGCAGCCAGATGACTGATGCTGTACTTCACAGCAGACGCACACCTCCACGCTGTCAAACTTAATCTGGACAGAGGAACACAGACAGAGCTCATAATTAAAATTGCAGTCTGGCCGGGGTTGGGGGAGTGTGGGGGAGATGCAGGCGCTATTTTGCTAAGAATACATGGCGGTGGCTCTGTTCATCTTTTAATAATAAAAATTTCCCCAACTGTTTCTATTAACTATGAAAAACACAATTAGGAACTATTTTAAATGAGCTCTGGTAGCGTAGTGGTTACGAATCGGGCTGCGAACCTTAAGGTCAGCGGTTGGAAACTACCAGCCGCTCCGCGGGAGAAAGATGAGGCTTTCTACTCCCGTAAAGATTTACACCCTCGGAAACCCTGTACAGGGTCGCTATGGGTCGGAACCGACTCGACGGCACTTAACAACAACAACAACAACAACTTTAAATACTAGTAATAAAAAAAGAAAAAAAAAATTGTTTAGCAAACACAACCAACCTGGTGTGGTACTGCTGCGGGTTAAGGTGCTGGACTGCAAAGTGGGTTTGAACAGCAAGGTCAGTGGTTCAAGCTCACCAGCCGCTCCTCAGAAACCTTATACAGGGTTGCTATGGGTTGGAACCGACTCGACAGCACTTAACAAGAACAAGTAACAAATTCAGGAACCTTGGTAGCATAGTGGATTATTAGCTGGGCGGGTAACAGCAAGGTCAGCAGTTAGAATTTACCAGCCGCTCCCCAGGAGAAAGATGAGGTTTCTGCTCCCTTAAAAACTTTACCAACTCCACAGCACAGCACCACCACCAATCAACAAATGACAGAGAATTGCAGTTGAACTACAGAAGGAGATATGAGTGAGTTTCAGTTTATTTACTTTTATCTCCTTCTGAAGTTCATCTGTAATTCTCTGTCATTTGTTGATTGGTGGTGGTGCTGGGCTGTGGCGTTGGTTCTGACTCACAGCAACTCTGAATATGGTTTCCAAGACTGTATCTAATTGAGGCCTTACTGCGTGATCTATGAAACGTCTATGCATCCCTCTAAACTCAACTTCAACTCCTCCTTCAAACCTTAGCTGGTTTCCTATCAGAATCGCTTGCTTCTCCTCTGGCCAGGTATTGGAGACTAATCCTATTCAAGTGGTTATTTTGTCCTTGTCTATTCGTGGGCTCCCTGAAGACACATCTGATCATCACAGTAGTTGTAACGCCCATATGTTGAGCAAATAAAATTGCTTTCAAAATGAACAAAGAAACAAAAAAACACATAGAAAAACAAATGCAATTTAAACATCTTAAGAGCAGTTAAGATTCCCATTGTGGCGCTGTAGGATCAGCACTGGACTGTGAACCACAAGGTCAGCAGTTCAAACCCAGCAGCTGCTCCTTGGAAACTCTATACAGGGTTGCTATGGTTCAGAATCAACTCGAGGGCACTTAAGAGCAAGAACAACTACAATAAGGGGAGTCCTAGTGTGGTGCTGTGGGTTAATGAGCCAGACTGCAAAGCTGTTTGAACTGCAAGGTCAGCGGTTCAAGCTCACCAGCTGCTCCTACGAAACCCTATACCAGGTCGCTATGGATCGGAACCAACTCGAAAGCACTTCACAACAACAAAAGTGTGGCACTGGACTGCTAGCTGCAAGGTTGGCAGTTCAAACCCACCAGCAGCTTCTTGGATACCCTAAAGAGGGTCGTTATGAGCAAGAACTGACCGGATGCCACTTAACAACAACAATCTAAAGGTTGGTGGTTTGAACTCACCTGTCAGTACCATGGGGAAAAGTCTGGTGACCTCCTTCCATGAAGATCACAATCAAGAAAACCCTGTAAGAGTAGACAGGGATGGGCAACTTGGACATTGGCTACCCAAAATGGCTGGGGGTAGGGGGGTAGGACGGCTACAAAGGCAAGAAGTGACTGGCCTACAAGCTTTCAAGAGGGAACCTAGATTCAGAAAGCATGGAGGAAGGTAGAATCTCCAGTGAGTAGTATCCAATCTGTCTAGGCGGGGCTGATGAAAGAAGATGTGGATGGGTCTCTTGTGATACAATAGTGAATAATTGCTATCAGGACTGATTGTGAGGGTTGGAAATATAACGGTAGACGTTTTGTAGCAAGGAGGGGAGTTATTAACTTTGCAGTCTAAGAGTGGAGGTCTCTGGGACCATCAAGGGAAAAGAGCAGAGAGCGGGACCCTACCCAAAGAAGCAGTGATGCCTGAGATGGAGGCAGAGATGATGACATGGAGTGATGGAGCAGCTAGGAACTTTAGACACAGAGAAGGAGAGGGGCTGTGTGCTGACGGCCTGGGGGCAGGCTTGTAGTGTACACCATTTGGTTGGTTGATGATGCATGGAGGGGATTGTAACCATGGCAATGAAACGATACACGATAGGATGAATATAAAACTAATGCTCTCCCATGTAAACTATCACATAATTCACAATAAAACATTTAAAAAGAAAAGAAAAGAAAACTCTGTAATGTATGACACTGCCGTGAGGCGGTGCCTCTCACTGGCTCCAGCATAGAGACCCATGGAATTGTCTATGTGCTGTAAATCCTCTTCTCTATTATGTTAAGGAGGTGCAATACCCTCTTCAGGATTAGGTTGCTTTTTATTCGGTCTTTATAAAGACACAAATGGGTTAAACAAGTGAGCAGAGGTCAGAGGGACTTGCTATCATCAAGGAAGAAAAGCCAGGAGACGAGTCAGTCCTTTAGATCCAGGGACCGTGCACCACGAGACTCAGACCCTGGAGAAAGAATGATAACAAGGATCCTCCCCCAGAGCTGACAGAGAGAGAGAGACAGACAGAGAGAGGGAGCCTTCCCCTAGAGCTTGGGTCCTGACTTTGGACTTCTAGTGTGGTGCTGTGGGCTAATGCGCCGGACTACAAAGTCAGTTTGAACCACAAGATTGGTGGTTCAAGCTCACCAGCCGCTCCTTGGAAACCCTACACAAGGTCACTATGAGTCACAACTGACTAGAAGGCCCTTAACAACAAACTCTGTTAAACTTTCTGTTATAAATAGCAGTACTGGATGATTAAGATAATACACACCTATTGTTTTGCTCATCATTACCTGATGGCAGATATTTGGGCCATTAAAAATAACAAAGCACACCCAACCACAGTCTTCTCTTGGTATGCATGCTTGCATATTTCTGTTGGCTACATATACCACAGTAGCTGGTTGGTCCCCGGTGGTCTTGACCATTACTAGATAGCGGCCCCACTTGCTCCAAAGCAGTAGTTTCAACTTAGACACACATACAGCGCCCCCAAGCCCAGTACAAGGTTCCCACTGTTCTACCTCCTCCTTGCATACATTTGCAAGTTTTGCCCTTCTGAATTTTTGCCGGAAAAGTACTGGAGGAGGCACAGCCCTCAAATGAGGGAGAGTAAGCTAAGATGTAAAGAAAAGAGCTCTAACACAGGAAAAACATCAATGAATTCCTGAGGGGCCAGAAAAAATGGTGTCCTAGTATGGTACCACTGGACTGCAGGATCAGTTTAAGTCACGTTGTCGGTAGCTCCTCACCAGATGGTCCTCGTAAACTCTATACAGAGTCACTAGGAGTTGGAACCGACATGATGGCGCATAACAAAAAAATAAAGCATGGCAAATCCAGCAAGTGCCTGTAGTTTGGCTAAAACAGACTGAAGCAAAAAAATCAGAAGATTTATGGAAGAGGAAAACCAAGCTGAGAGAGGATTATGTTCAGGGGAGATTTCCAGTTCTCTTGAGGACTGCTATGGTGAAGTAATGACAGGGGCATTATACAATAAAACAATAATCATTTCAAAATGAAACCCCAAAACTCATACACAGTATATGGCTTATCTATGAATAACTAAATAGTCAAGATAATATTTTTATATGATGACACTCACTCTTTGCTGAACAGCCATCTTCTGAGGCTGGGTTCATCTAGAGCAAACAAAATGAGTGAAGCACATTCCATAGTAGTCTCTTGGTACACATACATGCACGTTTCTGTGGGGTGTATACGTATATGCACACACCACACCTATGTGAATGTAGCTGCTGGGTTCCTGGTATCTTCAGTCGTAGTAGGCAGTGCCTGTCACTCAACAAAGCAATAGTATCAATTTACTCACCTACTAGCACTATACTAAGGAGCTCTGGTAGCGTAGTGGTTACAAATCAGGCTGCGAACCACAAGGTCAACAGTTCGAAACTACCAGCTGCTCCGCGGGAGAAAGATGAGGCTTTCTGCTCCCGTAAAGATTTACAGCCTCGGAAACCCTGTGCAGGGTCACTATGGGTCGGAACCGACTCAATGGCACTTAATAACAACAGCAAGCACTATACTAGGTTCCCAAGGTAGCTTCCCAAGGCCAACTTTTCTTCAAAAAGTTAGTGGAAGATGGAATTGAAGATAATGGATCTTTTCCCATGAACTCGTTGGAGCCCCTTTGTAAAATGAGAGAGAGATTTACCTCAAAGAAATGACTCACATGGTTGTAGAGGCTTGCTGTTAGGTACTGTCGAGTTGGTTCCGACTCACAGCAATCCTATGTGCAGCAGAACGAAACACTGTCTGGTCCTGAGCTAGCCTCACAAGTCTTATGTTTCAGGTCTTTGTTGCTGCCACCGTGTCAATCCATCTTATTGGGGGGTCTTCCTTTTTCTCATTGACCCTACACTCTTCCAAGCATGCAGGCTTTCTCCAGAGAGTGACCCCTCCTGAAAACAGGTCCAAAGAGTGAGGGCCCCGGTCTTGACATCCTTGTTTCAAAGCTGCATTTTGGCTCTACCTCTTTCCAGGCAGATTTGCTTTTGTGTCTGACAGTCCTTAGAGCAACCAACCATAGAAGACCAAAGGAAAGCATTTATCCAGGGATACAGCTCAGAGGGCAATTAAGGGATAGTCAAGAAGGATGAATGGGAATGGTGGACACAGGGAGGAAGCGAAAAGTGTGCTGTAATATTGTGGCGATGGCTATCAATGTCACCAAACAAAATGTGCAAGAATTACTGAATGGAAAACCAATTTACTCTGTAAACATTCACCCAAATTAAAATC